AGGGTCATGTGTCCCATCATCTGACTTATTGGTTTGGATGCTTCGGCTGTGGTTATTTGGTGTTTTGTCATGTGTATGTAGTGAGTGCAAGTGGGGTTCAACGTCCCGCTTTTTTTTTTGCCTTTTTTCCCCTCTTTGTCTTGGTTATCGTTGGGGCCCTGACTCACACATTTTTCTCACAGGGGGCTGAGTCATACTTGCAATAACAACATTGTAGGAGAAAGACAACTGGACACAATGGTCTCCACCTCTGTTTAATGGTGGACATTTTTTTCTTCACAAAGATGGCTTCCTTTACTCCTCTCTCAAACCAATGTTCCTCTCTATCAAGGATGAGAACATCTTCATCCCTGAAAGAGTGACCACTGGCCTTTAGATGAGTGTAAACTGCAGAGTCCTGACCTGATGATGTAGCTCGTCTGTGCTGGCTCATTCTTTTGAACAGTGGCTGTTTTGTTTCCCCAATGTATAACTGATCACAGTCCTCCTGACACTTGGCATATACTATATTGCTCTGTTTGTGCCAGGGAACTGGATCTTTGTGGTGAACTAATCTTTGACGTCATGTGTTTTGGGGTTTGAAAGCCACTGGGACATCATGTTTAGAAAATAAACGTCTCAGTTTCTCTGAAATTCCCGCCACATATGGAATGACAACTGGTTTGGGTCCAGAGGACCTACTTATTTTATTTCTTTTTGATTTTAGAAAAGTTTGTTTAAAGTGTCATCAGCGGTTTATTGGGTCAGTTCTATGATGCACAGCACAGACTGTTCACACCTCTTTGGCCTCTGGTTCAAAATGTGCAATAAGCAGTGACTAACAAAACTGAAGACAACAGCAGCAGAGAAGAGTGGATGGTAGATATTGAGGTAATGACTTCAGGAAAAGTGTCTGTTTTCATTTAGTTTTATAATGGAGTGGATTAAACCCTGACAGTTATTTTAAAGCATAATTCAAGGCTTAAAGAGTAACTTACCCCAAAATTAACTGTTTTTAGCCGACAAACTGTCTAGAATGTGTCTAAAATGTTATATAGTACTGTTTCTGTGCTAATTTTGATGTTTTTGTGCATATTTGTTCAAATCTGTAATATTTGGTCTAAAAACGTCTTTTTGCTGCTCATATGGGTAGAGCAGTGGTACTGCAGGCTAATTTGCATATTGGTTAACGGCTCTCCATGGTGACATGCTTCTCCACGGTTCTGGTATAAAAGCCTCTCTCTAAGAC